CGTGGTACTGAGTTGCTGGCTGGGACTAAACCACGACAACACTCTTAGGTAACTTTGCATCTCAGGAGGTCACTCTGTGTGGGGAGTTAAGACTGCTGTGTAGGGAGTTAGGTTGTCATACCGAACCCCTATTTAGAAGAGAGTACATCCAGCATATTCTGTTTATCCTGTGTCATTTTTAATTAGTCAAATTGTATGAGGAATTTTTATACATTTTAAATAGAAGAAAGGCCTATATGTGCAGAGAAAGGCCATAGTATTGCAGACCTAAAAAATCCAAGGCTTGACATTTTTAAGAGTTACTGCTGCTAAAACACTTTACTAACCACAAGCAGTCAAGTGCACTGAAGAGGAGACAACTGTGGCCTAATCCACTATATAACTTCTTTGGATCCATCTGAATGAATGGGATAAGTATATCCACTCCTTCGTAGCTGAAGAGTTCCTGTTGAAACATTAATTAAAGCAATATGTTTCTTAAATAGTATTCACTAAATAGCTACATGGAACAAAATACAAAGGAAATTGAAAAATTTAAATACTTATATCATAATAAATTTGGCCCACTTGTGAGAGTAGAATATATTCTTTATGATACACAAAAGAGATTTTCAGTTTTTCCAAACTGCTAATCTCATTCGTTAACACACTTTCATATATTCATTTAAAAATCAGGTAAATTACCAATTAAATAGGTGAGACACTTCCTAGTGGATTTCTCAGTGATTCTGCATTTTAACTGTCACTGTCACAGAAACCAGTTATCAAACCTGACTTGTTAGCAATGAACTACAGTTGACATCTGCTTTTGAATAATAATTAAAAAAAGCAGTATCCTTTAAATGAAAATATACCGATGTTTTCTGCACAGTGTGAGATAGAAAGACACATACCTTTCTGTGGAGATCATTTTCACAGAGAGCAGACAAAAGAAATAATATATCAGCTTGGATTTCCAGTAGAATGGCATCTTCTTTCTCTTTAGATTTGTTTGCTGCGTACTTTAGGATGTCTATAAATGAATATATTTTATACATGAATGTCCTATACACGAGTCAGAATTCTATTACAGCTGCTGATTTTTAAAAAAATTAAATTTACACCAAGGGATTCTTAAAGGAATCTACTTATGTTGTTCAGTTTTATCTGCTGTATTTTATAATAGCTTACAGAAGTGCAGCACTCTGATGCTGTAGTTTCATGGACTTTACTCTTGGTGACAGAGCTAATGATAGCAGCTGGCACTGACTTATTCTTTGCTCAGTCTCTGTGCTGCTCCTTGTATTATGCCAGTGCAATGAATTCAGGGAACTGACCTGAATCTTAGAAAAAGGCACTTTTTAGGCACTTAGAAAAAGTAACTTTACTTACTGATTTGCTCTACTGTACAGCCTCACCAACATTTATACTGACAGTGGAAATGTAGGAGAGACCTAAAATACCACCACTGCTGAGAAAATCAGCCTTGGAACCACTATGTGAAAGATGACATTCAGACACAAAACTCCCCCAAAGTAAGAAAAGTCACTTGAATCCGGTATGTAAGGTTTAGTGTTAATTTTGCTTTCACTAAAATCTGTAAGCTTCCACAGAGTCTTCACTGGAGTTCAGCCTTCAACTGAGCATACAAAATCTTTTATTTCTAGGCTTTCTATTAGAATATACTCTTTGAATTCCAAAGGATCTTACCTATTTTGTTTCTTCCAGTATGACTCTGACAGAGTACTGGAAACTTTTTATTATTGTAAGAAAAGAACTTAAACCAGTATGTATTGGAACTTAAAACCAAATGTAACAGTAGGTATGTGTTATTGAACAAGAAAATGCTCTAAAATTGTACGAGTGGTGGTTAAACAGTTTTACTCTGCTTTTATTACTTATAATGTTATTCATATGAAAGTACATTGTTATTAATTTTCTTTTACTCTAAAGAGGAGTTGTGGAAAGTGACACCACAATAGACTTAGGTAGAACAAAAATCATGGCTGGAGTTCCTAGGGGCTACCACCATGAAAATAAGACATAACAAATGCAGTATAATAAAGGGAGAAGGGGCAGCTTTCACTCTGAAATTAAACCCCTAGGCTTTTACAGCTGTTTTGCTTAATTCATTCAATTCTGTGTGTTGAAGTGCAACAAACTTCAAAATCAAATCAATTACATCTTGGATTAATTTTTTAGGTTTTTTAGTTTTTCAGCAGTCAAAGGAGTAACACACTAAAACCACAGCACTCAAAAAAGCAGGAACATTCTTAGTGTCAACAGAAATGTACAAATTTAAGTACAGCAATACAAATTGTGCTTTACCCAGTAGCTGGCTAATTGCTCCCTGGTCACACAAATTAAGGTTCACAGCATCATCATAAAGGGACACAACCGATCTCAGCACTCTCAGGCTGTAGCGCATTTGTGCAAGTTTGGTGCCACGACCACCTGTTCCATGGAAACTGTTACCTTGACCAAAGAAAGGATCTGTGGAGCAATCACAATGAATATTTTTTTTGGCAGACAGTGTATGCTCAGAATAATAATGTGCTCAGGAAAAGGAAAAAAAAGGCTTATCAGTGTAAGCTAAAAACAAACAAACAAAAATCCCTTAATGCTAGAAAGGCTTCTTGCTTAAAACGATCTAGTAGTAAGCCTTTCTGTGTAGGGCTATACCTTCTACATTCCTAAGAAAGGTATGATTTTGGTGAACATCTAAAATTATTACAATGTTTTTAACCTTACGATGTTAATGAGCAGTCTCCAAAATTCAAAATATCTTCTCTAGCATGACATGTAATATCAACCTTTTGATCTCCATTAGACCCAAATGAAAAATTCTTCCTAGGAAAATTATACCAATTTTATGATGAAAACTATCCATCCCCAGAAAACCAGCCCATGAAATTGGGTGCAGTTAGTTATCTTTTTGTTTAGCCCATAATCTCAGCTGATGGCCACAAGCCAGCTTTAGTCTGGAAGCTGCCTTACCCTGTACAGCTCTAAGTTTGAGTTAACGCATCCTGCCTCATGGCAAGTTGGACTTCTTGCCACAGTAAGTGTATCTGACTCGCTTCAAACATGGGCAGTAGAGATGTGTGGCTGCCCACACAACTGAAGGAATATCAATATAGCAGTACACAAGGAATGGGGCACCAGCTTATCCTTCAGTAGAAAAAAAAAATCACAGTCCTTTTTTGTAGAAACATTAGTTTCCCAAGTGACCTATTGAAAAAGAATCATTCTGACTTCACGAGTTTTACATTTTTCCTTCCTGTCAAAGAAAGTAAGTTCAGCTGAGTTGTGTTTTGAGGTTACTGTGTATGAAAGCCATGAGCACCTACTGACCTTGGCCTATACACCATTCCAGAAACAGAAGGAGAAGAGTATTTGCTTGGCAGGACAAATATTTATCTACTATCAAGGGAGCCACTGAAGCTAAAATAGCAATTGCATGAAGCTGTAATTCCTCATAGTGGGCAGCAGACCAGTCATGAAATCCAGGCTTTTGATTTGGTTTTACATAATAAAGCAAAGCTGGCATCACATCATTTTCACTGAGAAGCTGCAGAGTCAAGACAAAGAGAAAGAGAGACAGCTTACAGGTTTCATATGCAAATAAGAAAAATCTGAAGCAATGACTCAACTTTATCTGTCCTACACTAAGAAAATTATTTTTTGCTGAGAAAGTACGTCATGAATGCTACAAGTACAGACAAACTCTGCTTATATTCTGTAGCATTCCCACAGACTGTGGTTTGTTAAACTTCATTATGTTCTTCACGTGTATTTCAGTAATGCTTTGCAGTCACTTGTCAGCTAATTTTCCTAGCATGGTCTAGGTTTGTAACTTTTCTAAAACAGAAATTGTATGCTGCTTTCAAACAGCAGGACTTGGTCTGAAGCTATGTATGAATTCTTGGAGAATAGCTGCTTTCAGTCTACTGGACTATGCGGGATGGATGGCTAAATAGAATCACAGAATCATAGAATGCTTTGGGTTGGAAGGGACCTTTAGAGGCCATCTAGCCCAACCCCCCTGCAGTGAGCAGGGACAGCTTTAACCAGATCAGGTTGCTCAGAGCCCCGTCCAACCTGACCTTGAATGTTGCCAGGGATGGGGCCTCCACTACCCCTCCAGGCAACCCGTTCCAGTGCTTGACCACCCTCAATGTAAAAAATTTCTTCCTTATATCCAGTCTAAATCTATTCTTCTTTAGTTTAAATCCGTTATTCCTTGTCCTGTTACAACAGGCCTTATTAAAAAGATTGTCCCCATCTTTCCTATAGGCCTCCTTTAAGTACTGAAAGGCTGCAATAAGGTCTCCTCGCAGCCTTCTCTTCTCCAGGCTGAACAATCCCAACTCTCTCAGCTTGTCCTCGTAGGAGAGGTGCTCTAGCCCTTGGATCATTTTGGTGGCCCTCTTCTGGACCCACTCCAGCAATAATATTCCTGTGATTCTTTTGACCTTTTTTTTTTTTTTTTCCACTTATTGTATCTTCTGTTCTGTTACAACTTACCTGTACAGCACATGGGTCTTTAGATAAGACTCCTATTACATTAAATAGTAACTTCTTCAGCTCGAAGTCCTCATAAGAATAGGTAAGTTTAAGACCTTTTACCAAGGGATTGGGAATTTTAACTATGAAGGAAATTGTAGATAAGTTACAAAAAGATCATCATTAACAGTAAAAATAGTGTAATTATGCAGTATGAAATCTCTTACCTTCAGTAAATGTTGCAAGTACTATTAACAGCTTTGCAAATCCACTTTCCTAACAGGCATTCAAAAAACATACATTAATTAAATTAAATTGCAGTGAAATTAAGAGTTATGATTTAATTTTAGTTTTGCTTTTTTCTTCAGAACAGAGTTTAATGTATCCTATGGCAGAATAAACAGAATTTTATCAAAGAAGAGATCAAACATTTGGACACTGTATGATGCTAACTAACTACAGTCCTAAGGGTACAATTAGCTAAACCCATGTCTCATTCAGTACAAGTCTGAACTTGTATGAGAAAGTCCCAAACACCTGTATTCACTACTATAACCTACCACACAAGAAAATCATATTCTCAGTACTGTTAGAGTTCTGGTTTTTAAAATGCATTTGTGCATGTGTAAGTTTATACATCAGGGTCATTAGTACATACGATTTTGTGCCTTCAGTTCTGTGTGCTAATACACTTACATTCAACTTCAGTGCTTTTACAAGTAAGCACATGAAAACTGCATGTATGAGCAATGTGCATTTACAAATATTACATATTAAAAATTCAGAAAATAAAATCTTGTGATTCACAGCTCCTAGAGAGCTAACAGAAGGACAATTACGTCTAATGTACCTACGGATAGGACCAAGGCCAGGGGGTGTCTACGCAGCACACTAGAGGCAAAAGAGCTTTGCTTCTGAGGTGATTAGAAGCCATGGTTACCAGGACACTGCTCCTTTTCAGCAAGAAAATACATTAGCTTGGCCTCAGTACTCCGGCAAAGCCACCACAGAGCTTTCCACCAGCTCCCAACAGGAGCAGAGCTCACAGAACACTACACAGACATTCCTTCAGAATCAAGCTGTTCTATTAGTTTTGCAGCAGCTTTTTAGATGCATCCCCAAAAAGCTGGGCTCAGGTTTGTTCGGCATAGCTCTGGAAGTTAGCATACACCCAAATGATTTTAACGATCAGAAAAATATTGCATAAGTAATTTTAAAGAAAATATTGAAGTACACAACTATATTGCCTATTAGCTTTTGTCTCTATGGTATCTATATTCTCTGTGCAATGCCATTGCAAAGTGGTTAAATAAAAAACATTAAAAGTTACTAATGTTTTCTCCTTGCTGACTAATGTAGTACTAAATTCTGACAGAAATCAGTAAGCAGTTACCAAACAGACAGTTTTGTTCTAACACACAGATAATCATAATTAATATCATTATAAGCTCTACTTTACATATATTTTCCAGTTTACTTGTGGTGAGAAAATTATTTGCCTTTCCAAAGGCTCAGATT